ATTATTATTTTTATTATTATTATTATTATTGTATGACATAATCAACGAAAGAAGTAATAATAGCTTTATTATACACGTTTTTGATATTAATATTATACTGGTAAAAATGAAATGCAATTAAAGTTTATTTATTTATGTATCTACGTAGTATAATAACTAACAAGTATTATCTGAGGTACTCTGTCTTAGAAGAGAATACAAATAAATTATCTTAAAAATCATAATAAATCTATATAGTTCTCACATCGTATATTACAACCATTTTGTTTATTCAAAACAAATTACGTATTAACAAATACAATTTAATGTGTTAAAATGCATAATTGCATGCTGTGACTTTTAAAATTAACTATTTAAAAATAAGTACGGTTTAAAATAATTTATGTTATACCTATTTTGAAGTTCTCAGTTCCATTAGTACATTAATTTTAAATTCATTATGATAAGTAAAATACGTTTGGTGTTTTTTCACAGATGTATTTAAATTTAAAGTTGCAATTTTCAATGCTTAGCCATTACTTTTCTTAAATTTGAACAATAGACGACCATGTGTATAAAAAATATAAAACGATATCAAATGATTTAAATAGGTAACCACACCTTGGCCAAAGTTGACGATGATATATCGGATAAGATATTAAAATATTATATTTTACTGTCCTTTGATGGATCGAGTTTTTTTTTTTTCTTTTTAACAGATAAATGAAGCAAGAAAAAATTACAAATTTATATTTTCGGTTGGTATAAAGGTTTTGCAATTAATTTAATTTAATTAATTAGGTTTTATAACTATCGTGTTCATACGTTTTTCAAAATCATTAACACGCGAGTCGTTTTAAATATTTAAATATAATTTCATTGGTCATAAAACGTCATTACCCTCTATGTACATGAAGTGCGTCATGATAATAAAATATAAAATATAGTTTAGCATCAAATGTACAAGGAACGTATTAAATCCGAAAAGTAAGTGTTCCCGTGCCGGGGACTCGTTGAAGCGACGAGTTAGAATAAACATATCAATTTTTTTTTCGTTTTTTTATCACCAGCAGAGTTATTATAGAGATCGAGAGTTGACGACGTTAACGACTTCTTTGACGACAATATTTGCTACTCTTGGGTTGTTTAGTCGGAGGCATCGCAAATGTTTTTTTCCTTTTCGACATCATAGCCATGATAATCGTTCGACGACCGTTCCGGAGCCGGGAGTTTCACTGCGGTAAAATTGTAGAGGGTGGTGGCGAACGGCTGCCCTTGGACGACCACCACGACGACGCCGCTACTACCCGATGGCGAAGTCAAGTGCGTCGTCGAATAATACAACCGAATCAATCGACTAAACGACGTGTAAATTATCAATTTTGACGTGCGACCAGTGTGGTAAGTGTACGCTGTACATAATACGATGCGCGCTTGGTTTCCATAAAAACTATAGCGGTCCACTATTTGGTTTTTGTTTTTGTTTTTATTGTTTCACGAAAAATATTTATGTACATTGTAATAATCGTTTGAAATGATGGATTTTTTTTCTTTTAGAAAACCGCTTATTCTATAGTATGTTCGTGTTGATGAACTCGTAGAAAAAGCGAAATTTCTTTACACGCACCCTTTTAATGCGTAACTCGAACTGAGTACTACTTCAATAAGTTAGATGGAAAATAAAACAACACTTTTTTGTCGAGAGTCTGTTTGCAACAATATAATACTTGTACTTTTCGGTGAAACACATTTCTCATAAATAGTTTTGAGTAAAAAAGTTCATTTTTATCTATCGCGTAAAAATTTAAAATGATCGATAGTAATATCATAATAGACCTTATTAATCGAACAGCGTTTAATAATCAACCTATTGAACTCTTAATTTTCATATATTATCAAAATGGCCTCTTAAAAAAAAAAAAAAATAATAATAATAATAATAATAAATATAATTTTGTAGTTTTAAGAGCAGGACTTTTGACCACCTAAAAATAGTTCACCGGGCTTACTGGACGATAAATTTGTGCTCAAATTTTTCTCATTAACTGCGACGTTGACAACGTAATTTATAAGTCATCTAATCCATAAAGTTATACTATTCTTCTAAACGTATTTGTGTACATAAAGTGAATTTAACGATTTTGATAGCATATATACATTATGTATATATTAATACGGTAGTCGTAAAAATAAATGTTAATATAATATATTTATAAGTTTATAGGTGTTATATAATTTAAAGCATAAAATAATAAACACATAAATGATTTTGAATGTAAAAATAAAAATAAATCTCAACGAAAATATAAAACGTAATTACAGGATGTGTGATAAATACTGTTTTTAATTAGTCAAATTAACGCCGTACTACTGCAGCTGCAACCCCAAAACGGGTTGTGCCCTCGAGGCGCATGTGCTGCACTCAATAACTCTGGTGTATGTGTTCGTTAATTAACACATTTGGTTTTTTACATAATTAAATACGTAGACGTTTAAATCTGCATTATAATATAGTATAGCTATCCAAAATGCGTCAAGTCCGATAACGTGTTTCACGAGAGTTTATGGTGTTTGTTCGATGTTAGTTCTAATAAAAAATAAATCCTTCAGATTAATTATTTAACTCCCGTTACTAATCGATTATTTTGGACTTATTTGTTTTCATAGTGATATTTGTTGTATGATAAAAATAAATATAAAAATATTGAAATAAATTATAATATGGATTACTAGATTCGACGCGAATTTATCGGAATTAACCTACCATAATATGAGTAGATATTTACTTTATCGACGTGCGCTTTGAACACAAGTGAGTATTAATACGATTTATTCCAATATTTTTAGTATGACAGAGAACCATGATCCCATAGTTTGTTGGGGATTTAATATTTCGATCAATTTAGAAACAGCCTCCAGTATTGAGAACTGTGTTCATTTTCTAATTTTAGGTCCCATAGGCTGAATAATCTAAAAGAGCAATAAAAAACAGACAACGACCGTTGATGTTTAAAAAAAGATTGGCATAAAATCTAAAGAAAAAAATAATTAATTGTTAGTTTTAAACCACGATGTAATACTTTTTGGTTCATGAAATGTGAAACGAAACAATTTTATAGCACGTGGTGCAGCTTTTAAATTATTTGTAATGACGGTTTGATGCGAAATAGTAAAACTAAACAGGAGAAAGCTGCAACAAATAATATGTCAAAACATACGTGGAAAGCCGATAAACACATATTACAGTACACTGTGAACCGATAGATAAATAAATCTTTCAAAAACGAGACTTTATAAATAAAAAAAATTGCGAGATACAGGAAATAAAAATTATAAGAACATATAATATTTTATACAAAGCTCATGGTTAAGATTTTTTGAAAAAACTTTCGAATGGAATCTTTGAAAACTCAATAAAAAAAACATTACGTGATGAATTATTATTCGACCAAATTCTTATCGTTGGTCGAATAATCTTGTCGGAAACTTGACCAAATAAGTTTATATGATGGAGTAAGAAATGTACACCAATATTTGGATGTGATTTCACGATGATCTACATAAGTACTCTTAACAAATGTTCGATATCTTCTGACCGCCAGTCGACGGTCGATATACTCTTAGGGTTGACTAATGCTACCGGCATTGCATGAGTTTTTGCAATAATATATATTATATTTTAGAATCCTATGGGGATGTTTGCAAACGTTAATCTATTCAACGCATACAAAGCTTGTATAGTTTTAAATTGAAAAACAATTAACATTACAACACCAATATTCAGTAAATAAAATCGAAAATTTAATATATCCAATGTGACAAATATCTATTTGAAATATTGATCTATATTAGGGAAAATGTGTTTAGTTTTTTCTGTGAAGGATAGGGGATATTTTTCTATAAACGTTATTTCGTTTTAGTACAAAACACAGTTTTTTTTGGAACAAATAAAATTAAAAAACAATGTTCATATTTAATTCGTCGTGATGTTGTACCAATAACGTTTAAAATTATAATGAATATAGAAAAAATAATCACAAAAATGAATTATTAAATAGAACATTTTAAGGAAACTTGTCATTTAAGTTTTTTTTTGGGAAACTTAAGACCTTGAAAAGTTATAAAAAACTTCAGTTTCATTAACGAATGATTTTTGTACACTAAAACATCCTTGAAATATTTTATCAGCGTTTTAAATGTACTTAACTCAAACAAATTTATAGTAAACTTTTGTTTAAAAGTTTGTAAACCAGTAAGAACTTATATTAAATCCCAGTTCGTATACTGTATGATATAAACCGAACGTTGAACCCTTTAAAAAGATATCTAGTCTCGAGAGAATTAACGTAAGATTGTATTTTCGAATGTCCTTTAAAAAATATGTGATCGTGTAACGTAAAAATAAATATCATTGGATATGTGGGCATGACATAAAAAGTAAGACCAAAAAGAAACGAAAGAGGAAAATGTCAATGCATATTTTTAAAGGTTTAACCTTCAACTAAGATATTTTTCTTAGATAAATTATATAATTTGGTTCAATATTTTTAATAGTAATTTCAATAAAGTTATATAAAATTATTACAAATGAAGTGGCCATAAAAACCATGATTTAAATATTATATGTAAAATAATAATAAAATTATAGCAAGCATATTATATCGTACATTTTTTTTCGGATACTAGTACTAGTACATTTAAATCAAAAAAAAATATTATTGAAACAAAATGATTGTATATATTGTACAATTGATTATGTGTCAATAACAATAAAAAACAAAACAAATTTTTGGATGCGAGAAGGGGTTACAAACCATACTAATCTTTTTTTCAACGTAAAATACCGTATATCGAAAAAATTACACGTTATTAAGGGCGAAACACGATCAGCTTTTATTCGTCGTTATCTAAATAACTTTAATCACTTTACTATAAACATTTTGCCATGAACGTTAATTATTTTCTTTTGTTGCTGCGGTGCTAATATAAAAACAATAAAATAACTATATAATCGTACTTACGTTTACTAACGTGTGTAGTGATTCCACGTACGAACGTTCCGTGTCGTAGAGCTCGACTACTACATGCGTTCTCGTGTCCTGCAACAATAAAGGCCACAATGAGAACAATCTTTATAAAGTTGTAAATAATTACTGTTATTAATACGCGTACTTATTACATTATATTTAAAACCAAAATTTTACCGTGTGACGTCTGGCCGCGTAAAATTTACTTTAGATATTTTTTTAATTATTTTTTTACAGACAACCATCGGCAACGGTTTTCACCGCCCTTCTAATTTTTCCGGTCGGCAAAGAAAATGTATTTTTTGGCCGAATTCCTAACAAATGGCGTGCATCTACAGTGGCAGAAATGACATTCGTTACAACATTGTCGTCACGTTTCCGCCCCGCCCGTAGTCCGCTACAGCCGCAGCCGCACAATATCGAAAAACTAAAATACTCTGTGCTGCGATGTACACTACACGGACACGCGTCAAGAGAAAAACCGTATTTTCAACCGGCCGAGAAATGGTTTGATCACGCGAATTTTCACATTATCGCATTCTCATACTCGAGTTTTTAATATTTATATCAAAAGCGTTAGATAAAACGAAACATTTCGTTTCGGCCGCGACTCCGAATGTATTAATTTAATTTTCGTATTGGCCCTGGACGGAAGATTTCTGTCAATTAAAATAAAAATGTCCGATACGTGCGTTAAGGTGGTCACGGTTTGTTTGAGGTCGCAAACTAACAAAGAGTATAAAAATTGACATGGGTCCTATTCTTATACTGAATCACCGTCACGATGACGTTGTTTAAGTGACCGTTCTGCAAAACAGGATAATGGCTTCTACATGATCGCACTACCAAAAAATGCTTCCGCCTACGCTACGATATGTTGTACATGGTCATCATAAAGCGTCGTACAGCAGTGGCATAATTTCAGTTTTTCTAAAGTAAGGCAGTCGGCTAGCTCTTATTGAATTGTCGAATCGGTGGCTCGTTTTACGCAAGTGCCGATAAACGCGGGGAGAGGAGGACGTCAAAAAATAAAATGATTTGTACTTAATACATAAGTAGGTACCTGTATTGCACACATCTTATTTTTCTGATTTTCGGCCTATCAATGACTTTATAAAAGACGTATTTTTATTTTGATGATGTGCCGACTTTGAAATAGCTAAACTCTAGACTGCGGTAAATGCATGAGTTGCCCCCCTCCCTCCAAATGACGCCACTGCTGTACAGCAGTTGTCGGCCCATGGCAAATGATTCACGCACTGGATACGTAGTGCCTTCGACAATAGGTCTGTGCTTTTAATGAGTGGTAATGAGAAACGTAGTGGTAATGCCCGCAGAAATGTAGTTCAGGGGAGGGGGAGACGAAAAGCCACTGAGTACCCGATATGAATCAGGTCCGGCTTTATATAAAAATAAACATTTTATAACTGACACGAAACCTATAACATCTCAAAGGGGGCTATAACCGCCACTACCCCCCTTACTATGCGTTCCTGTGGGAGGGTGTGAGCGAAAAAAGTGCATCGTGTGGGTACGTACACTTCTCGATAATACTCGCAAGGACACCAAAGCAGTATGTGTAATAAGTCAGAAAAAGTGCTCAACCTCCGCACTCGTTACCCGATGAAATCGTCCGAACGACACGTGGTGTGTATGTTTGTTACAAACTTTATAAATATACGCTTCTGAAAACGATTAACCACCCAAGGAGAATAAACACCACGCGTTCCATCCGAAAATTGTTTGGGGACAAATTGCGATCGACCTCCGAAGTCGTTTAAGGGGAAAAAAACCAATACGGAATGAACCTTTACATTTTAGCTCAACTGTTAAAAATATTTCACTTGCCATCCACCAATCGAAAAATAATAATTTTTTTATTCGAATCTCAATAAAATGTTTCGTTGTCGAAAGTATGATAATACTTAATAAATTGAAATCATTACACGATCGGCTGATAAAATACGAGAACAAGTACAATACAATGCGATTCAAAAACTGAAGAAAAAAAAAACCCTTTTTAATCGACCACATATGAAAGTAATAATTTTTTTTTTTTTATTATTCTATCGACAATTTTAACTATCAAGTGTTCAATAAAATAAAATAAATAAATAAATAATTTTTTTGGAACACATAATAAAAATATTATTAATTTTCTGCCCCAGAATTTGTGTATGACAATAATTATACAATATATAATCACATCAGTTTTTATCCACCAAAAATTATTTATTATTCAAAAATTATTCATTTGAATACATTTTAAACTTAATATTTTGAATAAATTATAATAAAAAAAATTAAATTACAAATTTATTCGAATAAAACATTTATATCTTAAGATTGGAACGATTAAATTTGTTGAACTCTTTAATATTCGATATGTTTATTTGATAATTGTATTATCATGTCATGTGTAAAGAGCTAACAAAAGACGATGAAAATATACTCTGCTCGTATCTGTACTTCTGTCAATCAAATTAAAACACCAAAATCGTTAATATTAGTTGAAAAATAAAATGGAAAATTTTATTAAATATTATTCGAAAATATAGCTTCTTTAAAACTAAAACGTAAGCCGCTACCGCATAATTGTCCATATTAAATTCGTCTTGAAAAAAAATTGTATCTCGGTAAATTTTTATATAAAAAAGCTTAAATTTTATTCAAACAATGTGTAAATTATGCGCATTTTGATTTTGGAAACCCCATAGAATTCTGACAAGCGTTTTAATCGTTTAAAAAAATCGTGTTTTGCCGTGAGTCTGAATATGAATCCGTTTGGGATTTTTTTTTTTTGTCCGTGAACGTATGTATACCCTCAGTGACTCTGTCCGTTGCGACAGCCGGTGGAACTGAGATTTAAAAAATCGGGTACGACTGCGATCATCGGAAGATACTGCGTACAAATTCGGACTCGTGCACCGGGTGCACTTGATATTCTCGGTTAAGAACAACAGGAGGACTACATATCGACCATACAGAACCATTCAGATATGGAAATATCCGGTATACGGGTTTTCGTTGTCCCCAGGATGATCGTCGCTGTAAAATTGCCTACACGTTGCGCTTCGTTCCGGATCCCTGCACGTGTCGAGAAAACAAAACCAAACATACGCAAAACCATCCTTAACGTGGACAAGACAATTAAGTTTTCAAAATCAGAAACAAGAACAAAAAATCGGACTTTTATTATATACGGCGATGATAAGCGGTTGTCATAAATCATGCATTTGAACATCTATTTATCTATTCAACTTTGCACCTAGTGAAATATTTTAACTTGACAAATTAATTGTATTCCGTTATTCTATCATACAATAAATTGTATATGCTAGCTATTGCTATACACATACATAAATTGTCTTAATAATCTAAGATAAAAAAAATGTAACGAGTTATAAACAGCACACCCAAAGGTGGATTAAGCAAATAGAACGCTCTTATGCCAAATAAAAATTTGCAGCTTTATCCTAAAAAAATATTTCTGACATAAAAATTTCCTTACATAAAAATATTTGTTCAATATAATGATATTATCGACTGCACTACTGATTTAAGCGAGATTTTATTTTTTCATATTAAGTCACGATTTTATAGACTTTTTATATACCTGACGGTGAATTTTTAATTCGAAAACGGTCGTATATCACAAATACAATGATACTCCAGCCTAAGCTATTATTTATTTATTTATTTCTATATATAAACTATTTGTTTATTTAATTACATATTAATTTATGACTATTAATCATTTAATAATTTTTAATTTTTATTATTTTATAGAGTGATAACCAATTCAATTTCTTAAACGAATAGTGTTATCATAATATTACAATCTATGAAGTAATAATAACAATAATAACAATAATGCGAAAATTTGTTACTTCTCGTCGTCCTAATGAATATTTCATTTTTTAAATTTCAGAATGCACAAATACGTGGTGAACCCGAATCTAGAAACAATGAGATAAACTATAATAAACCATAATCGTCATCACCATCGGTGATTTCCAGAAGAAAAAAAATAGTATTAATTAGATATATAGGAGCAAATAAATAAAAATAAAATCCAAATATACCTTTCACAGTTTTAAAATTGTAAATTGATTAATAAAAGATAAAATTTAATATATTCTGGTACAAGAACAAAATAAATATTAAATACAATTTTTATACGTATTCAAAATTTACATATAGTTTTATAAATATTAATTATTAGTGTACCGTGTTGTCATTATTATATACATAATAACATTTAGGCTAGGTAATAAAGACTACATTTTTGCAAGTAGCGAAAAAAATCCAAACTAAGATTCTTTTTTTAAAAGTTTTAGTAAAATATGTTTTATAAAATACAAAAAATCCCTATAACTCTCGGACTAGAGCTTTTTTTATAACCTTATGAAAGTAAAACAATGTGAGATTTTTTGAATATCTTAAAATGTATTACAAATATTATAAAGACTTTCAGACAAAAGTTGTTTATAAGAAAATGTTCGAAAGAAAGAGTTATGTTATTACTATCATATTTTTTTATCTAAACAAATATTTGGCCAGATATATTAATTTAAAAATTGACACCTGAAAAAAAATTAATAATTTTCTCTCTTTTTCCGAGTTAAATTATTTTTTTACACTGTATTACCCATAAATATTGGTAACAAAAGATTATTATATTATCCATCGCACAGATAAAACATGATCTGGTTTAATGGACTGATATGAAAATCGATCAAATTCTTCTGAGGACAATGAAAATGGTTAGTGGTCATATTCATTGTAGAAATATGACAGACAGCGTGAAAACTAAATGGATTTTGGGTATGCCTGTTTTAAATAATATTTTTTCTAATAATGAACTGTTTGTAAATGTATCTTGTAATGTAAACGAATAGCGTGTGAACTACGGGCTTCTAGAATATCTAGAGGTGATAGTGATTTTGGAAATATATCCTAATGGTTTTCGTTTGATTATTCCTTTACAAAAAAATACAAAATTAAAAAATCCCTTTACAAATAGCGATCTGTGTTATGTCAGAATTTCTGGTAACGACAATGTTAATTGC